TGCCAAAAATAAAGTTGGATCACATCGTGCGAGAACGGTACCCTACCTTCGTGGACGCTCTCCGAGACCTGGACGATGCGCTGTCATTGCTGTCTTTGTTCGCCAACCTCCCTTCGACCACCGAGGTGCCTGCCAAGGTCATTGCGCGCTGTCAACGCCTCTGCCACGAGTTTGAACACTACCTAATCGCCACTAACTCCTTACGAAAATCCTTCTTGTCCATCAAAGGTATCTACTACCAAGCGACGATCCAAGGTCAGGATATAATGTGGTTAGTGCCGTATAAATTTGTACAACGGGTAACCCAGGATGTGGACTACCGGATTATGGGTACCTTTGTGGAATTTTATTGCACCCTTCTGGGCTTTGTCAACTACAGGCTCTATACGTCAATCGGCCTTGTGTATCCCCCAAAGTTCGACGTCGTGTCCGACGAGCGAGGAGCAGAGCTGGCCGCTTTCACTCTGGAAGGGCGCGGGATTGGTGGAGGCATCGATCAACAGGACGAACACAAACAATTGGACAATGATCATGCACAACATAACAACACAAAAGCTATTCAGGCTCAAATAAACAAGATTGCCCAAGAGAACTCGGCTCAAGAAGACGTGAAGCAGGATGAGCCCGCCGAAGAGCAAGCACAGACTGATGCTATTGATACATTCATTCCTGCGGCACCAGAAGGAGACATCCTGCCGCAGCCTGATTTGACTGCCGACGAAGCCGCACACCTGTTCTCGGAGTTCACGTTTTTCATTTCCCGCGAAGCTCCTCGTCATCCCATTGAGTTCTTGCTGAGAGCATTTGGCTGCAAACGCGTGGGTTGGGATGCCGTACTAGGTGAAGGCGCGTTTACCCATGACGAGAGAGATCCTCGGATCACGCATCAAATCGTGGACAGGCCTGCACCGTCACAATCACTTTCATCAGCGCAGGGTCAAGAAGGCTCGAAAGATCAAAGTCTTCAGACTGTCAAACCTGGATACATCATGCCCGGAAGAATCTATGTCCAACCGCAATGGATATGGGATTGTGTCAACGAGGGTAAATTGCTGCGCACCGACGTATATGCGCCTGGAGAGACGCTACCTCCTCATTTAAGCCCATGGGTCAAGCCCACTGGTGGCCAATATGATCCAAGAGCGACCTTGGAAGAGCAGGAGCCTGAAGGTGAGGCTGATGCAGCCGCAATTGATGAGAGTGAAGATGAAGAAGGGCAAGAAGAGACTACTCAGCAAGCCGTTGAGGGACAAGAAGCTGAGGAAAAGGACGATGATAACGATAAAGATAAGGACGATGATATCGATGCGCATGATATGGATGTCGCACCCTCAGATGACGAATCGGAAGAGGAAGAGAAAGAAGACGAGGCAGATACTTTCGGTGGCTTCGATGATGCTATCTCACAAGACTCAGAGCTAGACGAGGATGCTGAACACCAGAAGGAACTGGAAGCAGAAGCAGCAGGACGACCTGTCAAATCGAACATGAATGGAGCAGACCCCAAGGCTAAGGACACCAGAGCTCGACAGACAGAACGGTCTCGGAAAGAGGAGGAAGTTGAACGACAAAAGATGATGATGAGTAACAAGAAGCGCAAGCTGTATGAGAAGATGCAATACTCTAACAACAAACGTGATGAGGAAGCTGAGAAGCTGCGGAAAAAGCGAAGGAAGCTGGAAAAAGCTGGAAAAAGATGAGGCCGTACGCCCAGCACTGCCCTTCGTGGCTTATGATTGTTGTGACTATTAGCGCGGCGTTAAGGCCCTAGAATACAGCAGCCAAAAAAAAGGGGAGATAGAGGAGCATTGATTCGAGTCTCGACCATCATCATCCTGCACTCAGTACAAATTTACGAGGCTGCAATCAAGGGGCTCTACGAACGTGATGATCACGTGATTCGTAACAATCTTCGTTGTAAAAGCGGCAGCACCCGAGCTTCGGAGATCAATTGGGAGCTTCACAATAAAACTTCGACAGATTCGATCACCAAACGCCGTATTCTACACTCGTTTCGAAAAAGGCCCGGACAGGCCGGCGCAGTCTACAATGCTGCGGTTAGCAAGGCCTGTTGGCGCCTCTGTGCGTCGGCAATTGCTTGCCCAAGCTGCTTTGTCTCAGGTACACTTCGTCTCTTCCAAGTCAAGCGATGAGAGCTCGCGCGACTAACATCAGGTTCACAGAGGAGGGCATTTGCGGACAGAAAGGACTCGATCTTGAGTTCTGACCCGGCATTCCTGCCAGGCAGTCAATCTGGCGCTGTTCCGGTCAAGACAGAAGTTCCCTTGGGACCCGGTGGGCCTGGAAGTCCAGCTCCTCAACCATCCAGTTCAACATCTGCCACGCCAGCCTCACCTTCTTCAAGCTCGACCATTCCTCCTCAGAATGTCCCGCTCGCGCCTCCAAGCCCGCCCAAGACGCAGACGGCTCCTCCCACGACACCGGCGTCCGTCAGTCCAGCTGAACCGCCTCCTCCACCCCCTCCTCAGAAGCCACCGACACCGCGGAAAAGATTCTCCCGATTTCGCCTGCTACTCTACCTGATTACTTTAGGTGCCATCTCGTACGGAGGAGCCGTTTTCTATGCATTGAGGAATGACAACTTCCACGATTTTTTCACTGAATACATTCCCTTCGGAGAGGACGCTGTCCTATATTTCGAGGAAAGGTCATTCCAGAAAAGATTTCCGCACGCCAGGCATAACGTCACAAGGCCTCCTCGTGCTGATGGACGGTTGGAGGAGAGCAAAGTCACCACAATTCCCCAGAAGTCCGGACTCTCATGGCGAGCCGTAGATGACGCAGAACAAAAGGGAAGCGACGTTACACAAAAGGGCAAGCATATGAGTGCCTTGGATGCAAACCCAGTGGTGACGCCAAAAGACGCTACTGATGCCAAACAAGATCCACACGGTGCAACACCCAAAGAGAGAAGTGTCTCGGTTGATACCGCGAAGAAGAGTGCAGCGTCAAAACAAGATGGCAAACCAGAAACTACACCTGCAGCTGCACAAGATACATCCTCGCCGCTGTCAGAGGCTGCCCCAGCAACTGATTCGCGACCACCCGCCATTCCCCCAGTCACACATATCTCTCCAGTCACGGTACCCAACGCCGACGAACCCGTGGTACAAGAGCTGGTCAAGATCGTTAATGATCTCATTACTGTCGTGAACTCAGATTCCGCCGATGCTGCCAACAAGTACTCCGCTCCTATGGCCAAGGCGAAGGAATCTCTCGAAGAGGTTGCTAGCAAGATCACCGTACTACGTGATGCAGAACGCAAGGCTGCCGAGGAGCGTATTGCCCAGGCACATAGAGAGTTTGAAGAAGGGGCCAAACAACTTCTGAAGAGGATTGAGACCGCCCAGGCAGAGGACGACGCCCGCTATCGTGAAGAATTCGAGACTGAGAGAGCCCGTCTCGCACAGCTCTACGAGGAGAAGGTGAAGACCGAGGTTCAGCGGAGCGCTGAGCTCGCGGAACAAAGACTCAGGAATGAACTCGCCGAGCAAGCCATCCAGCTGAAGCGTGACTTTGTTGCTCAGATCAAAGACCTGGTGGAGTCGGAGCGGCAAGGAAGATTGAGCAAGCTGTCTGATCTCAGTACTAATATCGACAATCTGACAGAACTTACGTCGAATTGGAACGGTGTGATCGATTCCAACCTCGCAACCCAGAAGTTGCAGGTAGCTGTGGATGCCGTCCGATCTGCGCTCGACGCAAGCGCTGCCTCAGATGCAAAGCCTCGCGCTTTCGTGCGGGAACTGGCTGCTCTCAAACTCTGTGCTGACGGTGATCCCATTGTCGACGCAGCCATTGCGTCCATCAATCCTTCCTCATACCAGAAGGGTATCCCTTCGCAGCCGCAATTGATCGACCGCTTCCGCCGCGTGGCACACGAAGTCAGAAAAGCATCACTCCTCCCCGAGAATGCGGGCATCGCATCGCACGCCGCCTCATTAGTACTCTCGAACGTGCTCTTCAAGAAGCATGGGCAACCCACAGGCGATGATGTGGAGAGCATCCTCACGAGAACAGAAACCATGTTGGAAGAAGGCGACCTCGATGGTGCGGCAAGAGAAATGAACTCCCTCCAAGGATGGGCGAAGGTCTTGAGCCGGGATTGGTTAAGTGACGTGAGGAAGGTGCTTGAGGTCAGACAGGCGCTTGATGTCATCGAGACAGAAGCTCGACTGCAATGCTTGCGGGTCGGATGAATTTTTCCCTTGACGTCCCTGTAAGGTTGATAGACGCGGAAAGCAAGGATGGATAAGGAAAGACTTGGGGGGAAAGGGGGGAAGAGTTTTGCGCCCCAGAACGACAAAGTGTGTAGGAGGCAAGGCTTGTGTGTATATATACATATGTATTCCGGCAGCCACAACAACCAAAAAACCATGGCGTTGGCCCATTCATTCAGTCGCTGAAATATCTCGTAAGCCTTTCTCCCTTGTTCTGTCAGAGGTGTCTCTATGAGCGTCCTTTAGAATAGATATCAGTACCGATAATAGATGCATATGTATAGAGAGAGACAGAGAGAAACGGGAGTGGGTAGATAGATTCAGCTTCGCTACATGGCTTCTATAGTGACATCTCAATTGAACTGCACTAGAATGAAAAGGCTCCCTACAATTAATGCCTTTGTTTCCATCTGTTCCGTCAATTAAAAAGGTTATACCAAATACAAGAATACTATGTCGTGTCCCAGCCAAGAAGTAAATGTCCCTCGTGTCCAACAAGGAATGGATAGAGTCTGTATGAGTCGTGTCTCTTCCAGGGGGTGAGCACAAGGGCAGCCAACAGCCCTCTCGATGCTACGAGGAGGATAAACAGGTTACAACCAGCGCCGGAACGCCTTGCTCGTCACAAGAAAACAAGAGGCACTATCCAACCATATTTCCTAGAAAAGGGCTCGTTCTTCTTTCCGACCCCATAGTCTCTCTCAAACAGCGCATCGAATGCAGATCTTCATTTGGTCGATTTGTCAGGGTTCTGGTCGATTAATCGATCCAAAGCAACCATCTCACTCCACGGACGACACATCGGCCCATTCCCAAAGCGAGTCTGACCACTGAAACAACAGCCCAGATGAGCCAGAGTAACCCGACGACGGTCCACTCAATACCTGCAAACCACAGCTTGCGGAACAACCTGATCGGACCCCTCCGTTTTCTGCGAAAAGCGACTTCGATCGTGTCGTTGAGTTCTTTGACAGCAAGGGTACTAGTAGTGGAGAGCTTCATGCTCAATTCGCCTGCTGAATCAGCTGTCATTCGCACCTGCGGTGTCATGTTGTTTTCCACTTGGTCCTCGAGGATCTGGAGCTGGCTGTGCAAAGTGGGTATGAGCGACGTGGTGAAAGAATGTAGTTTCTTATTGAAGGTCAATGAATGGCCTTCCAGCGTTTTCATGATATTTTGTGCTGCAACGATATGTCGTTCTCGTTTCTTGACACGCAAAGGCTTCGCAGAATGCAACGCTTTGTTCTCCGGGGTAAGACTAGCAAGAAGGAATGCCGGCAGCTCTTCGCCCGGGTCTTCTGCCCGACGTCCAATCTCTCGGGCCTTGACGGTGGAAGTGAATAGCAGGGCATATGCACGTTCAATATCGCGCCATGTCACGTCTGCTGGTTCACCATCTTCTTGACCAAGTTCCGAGCCACCTATCTTCGAAAGATCACCAGTAGATCGCGTTGGACGAAGGACACCCAGTCCACTCATTGGGCCGATGACAGAGTTCAATTGGTCAGATGCATCTCGCGATCTGCTGAGGTCCAGAGCTGCACCGAAACCGTAGCTTTTCTGTCGACTCACCTCGCTTGGCGTCGTGGGCGTTCCAGTGTCAAGCTTGGGCAGAGCAGCAAGACGTGGTGAATGTGAAGCCGCGCGACGCTGAGCTGCGAGCAGAGAGATGTGGTCGGTAGGATCACTCCGTATGGCTGCATCTTCAGGCGCCAAAAGTCCCTGCTGTTTCTCTTGACGTTGACGATCCTTTTGAAAAGGGGATGTGAAACTGGGCAAATTAGGATTATTGTATCGAGGTCGATCACTTTCCAGGTTAATTGTCTTCATGACAGCAGGCGCCACGCGGTCGCTCTTGGTACTTGAGACAGTGGACGATCTCGAGCGGGTCAGGCGAGGAGGTGTTTTGAGAGTTGTCCCGTTTTGTTGTGGTGGCAGCTGTTGCTGCTGCTGCTGGTGCTGCTCCCTTTCCGAATCCGACCCTTCGTAAGATCGTATGCTTCCTTCCGAAGCCGAGCCTCTGTGCCTGTATATTATCGGAATATCACGTTTCCAGATAAAGTCTCCCACCCGAGAAACCTCATTCCCGACAATTTCAGCAATGCGACCTCCTTTGAATATGGCACGAATTCTCGAATGATCAGTTCCTGCATTGGCGGTTGACCGCATACTGGCTTTACTCGCCGTGCTGTGTCTGTGTTCGATGGACGACTGCATGGTTCCGTCGTCGACATCTGTCGAGTTTGTCTGATTTTTGGTCAGCGAAGTTAGCGTCCTAGTCATGGGACTTTGACCACGAGAATCAGTATCGTTGACGGGGTTTTCCACGTCGTCTTCCCGAACTGATTCCACAGGCGGAACATGCGCAAAGTCAGTTGTGCTGATTTGACCCTGACCCCTATGATGTTTGCGGTGAAAAGGATGCAGAATGGTAGATAGAGGGTTCTTAGACGGTGAGCTCGGTCTACTCGGAGGTGGGGAAAGATTGATGGCAATACTAGGCCATTCGACCCCATTAGGGGAATTAGGGGCTGTGGTGGTATCGTATTCTGTAGATGCGCGGGGATGGTGTTCGTGCTCGAGGCTCGACCGAACAGGGACCTGGATGGATCGAGGTCGAGAGGCGTCCTGTCTGTTGCGTGAACGAGTCAAGGGAGTAGACTTCTTGAAGCTGTCCACTCGGAAGAGCTTATTGAGCCCGGTATGATCCATAGAGGTTCTTTTCGATGTCGGCGCAGATGATCCTTGACTAGAGTCGCCGTGACTGGGGACCGATGTCTGTTGTGTCTGTTTTGACAGCGAATGACCCCTCGGTTTGTCCAGACCATTGTTGACAGGGGTTTCGTGTCTCTTTCGTCGAAGTCGCCTACGACCACGTTCCACGCCAGCATCATCTGAAGACATTGAGGCCGAATAGTCCGAGTCGCTACTGTCCTGAAACAGCTTCTTGCGTATGCGAGAGCGCTCCCTAGAGCTGCTGCCACTCTTGCCGTGAACAGAGTCTCTGATGAGATCTCTGCGGCGCCCATGACGCCCACTCTTGTGCGTATGATGAGCCGACTTGAAAGTGGGCAGCTCAGGCAAAGCCGATGAAGGTGTCTCCTCGAGTGAGTCGCCATGAGATTCCGGAGGTGGGGAGGGTTGCTGCAATCTACTGGGTACATTGACAGGTGTCTGATTGCGCCAACCTGAGAATGTGAAGTGAGTATTCGGTGGATAGATCAAATTGTTGTCACGGTCCTGGATTTTCGTCTTGTTCAAGCCTTGCTCCAACCAATATGCATCAGCTATCAAGTCGGCGGGATGAGTAACCCAGTCAGATCGTGGGCGAAGGGGCTTGGGACGGAGCTGCTCGACTACACGAGGCAGCACCGTACTCTTTGGCTCATCTGGCGAGTCGTCGGTATCCTCATGATCAGCCTCCGCAGTCCGCAGGTCCAGCGGAGGTAGACGGACACACTCCAAAGAATCGTGCTGGGTCTCTGGGTGGCTTGAAACCACAGCGTCAACCCAGGCTCTGACCTTCAAGACATCATGCCATCCCTCAGCCTCGCTATCAATCGCCGTCTTTTCCCATATGCGGAGCTTCCGATTTCGGACGTATTGTAGAGGATTATATGCCTTCTGCATTGCTTCTGGCCCAGTCAAATGAACATGAGTACCTGGCTTTCGTATTGGAGGCAAGTGCGGCAGAAGACGTCGATGCTCGTGGGCCAGTTCAAAATAAGCCTTTGCTTTGGCAACTCGGGCTGCGGTGGCCGGCGATATCTGGTCCATAAAGTCGGAATCGACGTCTAGATTGGGTACGACTTCGGTAACGGATACATCAACAGATTGCGGCGTCGTGGGCGTGTTCGAGTCCCATAGTTTGGTAGAGGTTTTCCTCCTGGGAGAGCCACTTTGCGATGACTGACGATTCGTCGCCAGAAATGGAGCGATACTCCGTCTCCGAACGGTGTTGCTAGGATTTGTAGTTGAAGCAGCGGAGACGACACGGCGGTCACCCTGATCGGTCGATACATATCTCCTTCCTGAAGCGAGGCGTCGCCTACCCTCACTGAGAGTTAAAGCCATGTTGACAATCTGCGCAGGGTCGTTGTCAAAGCCGACCTGGGGGATGGGCGGTCTTTGCACATCCATGGTACGCGAGGTAGAGCCGGAAGTGGCCTCAAAGTGAGAGCCGCTGTGTGAGGTTGAGAAGGACCGTCGGACATCAGTGCCATGGACCAACTGATCTGAGATTGGATAGTTATGTATGACGGGATCCTGCTTGACCTCGCTTGCCAACGGAGAACGCTTGAAGGATGAGCTGGAGTGGCCATACGTTCTATTCCTCCTCTTTGCGAGAGTCAATTCAGAGTCGCCTCCGTTCCGTTTGTCTTCAACATCTTGTCGAGCAGAAGGAGTAGGGGATTCGCGAGACAGTCGTTTGGAGTTTGAGACGGGTTCGAGTAGAAAGCCACCAGAACGTCGCGAGACATTGTGTCGGGGAATGTCGTTTTCTTTTGCCTTCTCTTTCTCTCTCTCCTTTTCCTTCTCTTTGCTCTTGGAGTCCACATCGTTTCGAGCATTGTTGCTAGCAAAGGAAAGACGCTCTAGTAGTCGAGAAGATTGAGGCTCGGGGTTGCGACTTCTACTTCGATTACTGGCAGAACCCGAAGCAGTCGACTCGGTCCTTGAAACTCGTCCCTCTCGCTCGTTGGAGGGTTCGCGAACTGAGTGGAAGGTCGGCAGAGATAGGTGATTGGGATCCGGATGCTGAGCTGCTCCGGCCTCATTGCTGGCAGCCTGGCCATTTGGAGGTGTAGAAGTCGACATTCAGCCACCTGCCCATGGAGCGCAGGTGCACCAGAGGGACTATCGCAGCTTCCTGCGGCCAAAGGTCGACGAGATCATTGCAGCTGCAAGACGATCCAAGTGACGAGGCAGTGATGGCCGTAGCAGCTTGGAGGCAGGTGGCTTGGTGCCAGCTGTCTGAATTCTGGAATATGGGACGAAGGAATGCACCAACTGCTGCCACAATGGCGGATTGCTGAGTGGGCAGCGGGCAAAAAGATTCTGGATGGTAGTCAGGTCACTTGGCCCAGTGACCAACCGCAGTTAACTGGATGTGGAAACTCACCCTCGTCCAGGGTCTCAGAACTTAGGCAATAGTCTCAAGCCCAGAGGTGATGATGCTATGATCCAAGCCTCCAATGTGTGTCGGTCACAGCCAGCCACCTTCCTGTAACTGTGGTAGTGGCGGTGACTTTGAGGTGGCGAGGTGGATATCGGCTAAAGGCGGACGGCTGCGCGGAGGGATGCTGGCTGCATGTACCGAGCACCAACTACGAGGTAGAACGACCTATAATAATATTGGAGACATTTAGAATGAGGTACCTCATGTACTTGTAACTGAGGCGCCTGGTTTTTGTAGTTGGTACAGTGAACAAAAGGCCGTCGAAATAAACCTGCGTGTGGAGTGTCCTCCTAAAATTACTCGGGCTGTATCGATATATTGTTGCCCTGCGACGCGCCCTCTCGCCACAGATCCCACTCGCTACCAGAGACACTATCCAAATGAGCACAGGAGACATCCCCAATGGAAAGACACTTTGCTCCAGGTCGATGCTGCATCCTAAGCACTATGAGGACACCTAGATCCCAGTCGAGGCCACATTCTCAACAATACTAGGACGCTGATGCCTTGTCCTAATAGAGGGACCGAAGGCCGTATCGACTGGGCCTGACCATTCTAGATCCCACGTTAATGCTCCTGCTTGAGCATTTGGTTGGAAAGATGGAGCTACCATGCATCGGCGTATTGACAGAATCAGAGGAGCCACCCCAACGTCATGACAAGGGCTATGATGCCTGTGTGAAGGACGCCTGTGTGAAGGACAGAAGAGTGAATAGAGTGAATACCTGAGTATATATAGAAGACGCTCAACGGCACATATCATTCATTTCCAAAACTCGTGATCATTGTGCTTTGTTCCTTATATCATAAGAGCGCTAAGGACACTAACACACAACATCATGACAACAGGCAATAGGAATGAAGGCTGGTTGGACATTGCGATCGACGGAGTAGCACTGGCAGAGGGCGAACCCGATGGTGTAGAGGACGTGGCGTTGCCTTCTGACACCTTTGTAATGAGGTAAACCTCGCCAGAGGCGTCCGAGGACACAAAGATGCGACCGCGGTCGTCAATGGCCATGCCAACCGGTCGGAAACAGTTGGCCGGACACTTTGAGTTGTCTGCGTTGGCGAAGATGTCAACGGCAGCCGTTTTGCTCGTGATATCGTCCACAGGCTGACCGTCACTGGTGAATGCCACGACACTCAATTTATACCCCACGGGATCGTCCCTGTCCCAGCTTCCGTGGAAAGTGATCCAAGCTTCAGTACCACTATTGTTGAACTTGATGTCGAGAGGCGCCATGTGAGCCTGGAAGACCAAGCTTGCAGGCAGCTGTGCCGCGCAGTAGGCATCAGTCTGGTTCTGGTTGTTGGAGGCAGTACTCGCGTCCACGGCAAACTGACTGCCCACCGTCAAGTTGCCGTTGTCTGGCAGGATATCAACACCCCACGCTGAGAAGCACCATGGATAGCCGAAATTGCCGCCCTGATTAGCATACTCTGTGCCATTTAGGTATCCCAGGAAGTTCAACTCTTCGGCAGGGTTGTCTTGATGTACATCAACGCCCATGCGAGAGAGTTGATCGGCTGAATTCTCCACAGAGAAAATGCCTCCAGATATGGGATGCTCTGCCACCCCGACATCGTTCCTCAACCCCCAACCCAGTCGTAGTCCCGTTGTGCTGAAATCGTAGGGAGCGCCAGTATGATTAGTCAAGTTGAATGCCCTGATTTGAGAATGCCCGGACTCCAGGGTCGAAGCTTCAAAGTCAATATTGGCGGTGCTGCCTCGGCTGACCAGAAGTAGGCCGGGAGCTGACTTTGAGAGTAATAGAGTGCGAGTAGTGTGGTCTGTGCCTGCCATGTTGTTGATGAGGGTGACGCGGTTTGATACGGTCTGGGACGATTGGGAATATTGCCAGGCAAAGACCTCTTCCGAAGAAGAGGCGTACAGGGTTTGCCCATCGGTAGATAACTCGATGCCATGGTTCAACTACCACAAGTCAGCTCTTGTCATTACCATGCACAAAGTGGATGCGCTTACACCTAACGCCGCCGTGATGTCGGTTGAATTGACCACAGAAACACAGCCTGCAGTGTCCTCATTAAGGGTATGTACTGATATAACTCCTCTTCCTTGCTCGACGACTATCAGATTACCTGCATTGTCGAGGCGGATTCCCCGTGGTTTAGATAAGCCGGTCGCAACCACTTGCATTTGGTAGCCGGAGGCGAGAGAGGGCTGGATGGACCCTGAAGGCGCGGGACCGCATGTCGAGGAGGATTGCCCGATGGCAAAGGGGATGGCCAAGAGCGTCACCGTCCCTCCGAAGAATGTCTTCATCTTATTCTAAGGGAGACGCGGATGGTAGATGGTATGGTCAAGGTGGATGGCACGTCAGAGGCAGGCTGTCAAACGGGAATCCGACGAGGGTTTAGCAACCGAGAGACGTAGAAGAGGCGCCTCGTCCGGAATGCAGCGAGAAAAGGATTCATTGTTGGCGTGCATGTCTTTGACTGGGGACTTTATGCAGAGGGAAGGGGATGATCTATCGCCAGGTTCTTGTCGCAAATGATGTCGATGATCTCATTCCAGCGTCTTGGTGGCGGCAAGTTTCTGGGCCATCAACGTGCCGGGAATCCCGCCGATGTATCCGATGTTCTAGTTCATGCCTCCCCCACATGCGGCTATGGCCTACAGACCTACCACGAAGAATTCCCCTCTCTATAGCTCATCTGCTCATCTATCAATAGAAATAAATTCCAGCATTTGATGCCGTCTGTTCCAGGCGCAAATGCCGGTGCAATAACAGAACCTTCACTCGATTGCCAAGAACCTCCAGGTATACAAGGCCCCAGCATTATGTCACAAGGACGGCAGGTGATATAGATCTATTCGTGGAATTCGCCCGTCCCGTCGCAGGAGGCCAATGCTCCGTGTTCCTTCGGCATTTCGAGGTCTTTCGTGAAATCCCGTTCACCCTCAGTGTGCTTGAACAACACCTGCCTCATTCGCTTGCGCACTGATCTTTTTCTTGTACGCCGTGATGTCTCCGGGGAACTTCTCGACGGTGCCCTTGTCACAGACCCACAGACTGGTGCAGACATTCTGAAGCATGGTCACATCATGGCTAACCATCAGCACACCGCCCTGGAACTGCTGCAGCGCTACGGAAAGAGCGTCCATCGCCTCGATGTCCAGATGGTTTGACGGTTCGTCCAGCACCAGGATATGCGGGTTGGTCAAGGACAGACAAGCAAATGCGACGCGGGATTTCTGGCCTCCGGACAACAGTTCAAGTTTCTGCAACCCCGTCATCCCTGTAATCCCAAAGGCCCCTAGATGTCGCCGATACTCTTCGTCCGTCTTGCCGGGGTAGGTCTTCTGCATGAACCCGACAGCAGACGTGTTCATGTCTAAGGCATCAACGTGGTGCTGCGCAAAGTATCCGACACGAAGACGAGGATTCTGGGATATCAGCCCAGAGGTGGGTTGCAGCTGTCCAATCAACAACTTCAGAACAGTGGTTTTACCTGCGCCGTTGGGACCCACGATTCCGATTCGGGAGTCGAGTTGAACGTCCAAATCCACTGAATGAAGCAGCGGCTTGTCCTTGGTATAGCCGAAAGTGACATTCGACATTTGGATAATTGGCGGCGAAAGCTTCTCCACATCCGGGAACCGGAAGTGCACCGTATACTCGGCCTCGGGAGGCTCCAGAACTGGCATCCGCTCGAGTTTCTTGATACGAGACTGTGCCTCGGACGACTTGGCAGCGTTATATCGGAATTTGTCAATGAATGCTTGTAGGTGCGCCCGTTGCGCCATCTGATTCTCGTATTCGCGCTTGGCGTTCTTTCTCCGTTCCTCCTTGGTGGCATAGAAAGAATCAAAGTTGGCCCCCTTGTAGTAGTCGAGTCTCTCTGAATGTTGGTGAATAATATCGGTCGCTACTTCGTTCAAAAAGGCACGGTCGTGTGAGACCACCAAGACGGTGCTTGGATATGTCTGCAGATAGTTCGACAAGAACGTGATCGATGGGACGTCCAACATGTTGGAGGGTTCGTCAAGCAGCAGCAAATCGGGCTCACAGAATAGTGCGCGTGCGAGGGCGAGCCTCATCCGCCAACCGCCTGAGAATGTCTTGGTCGCAAATTGTTGTCGTTCCGGCGAAAACCCTAAGCCTGCAAGAATGCTGGCGGCTCTGCTCTCGGCCTTGTCTGATTCCATCTCGGCTAATTTGGCCTGAATGTCTCCCAGTGTAGTGTCCAGGCCATCCTTTTCCTTGTCCAGACGTCCAGCATCCTTTGAGGTATCAGCCAGCTTTGACCGCTCGGCCTCAAGTGCCGCAAGCTGCTTCGATATTTTTTCCTGCTCGGCTAGTAAATGTTTCCGCCAGACATCGGCGTCAAGAACGGCCTGTAGAGCCGGGGTATCATCTCCAGTGATCTCCTGCTCGACGTGCAGGATAGATATATGGGTTGGAATGGCGACCTCTCGCCGACTCAGGGCACGCAGAAGAGTGGATTTACCGATACCGTTCTGACCGACCAGGCCGTACCTCCGTCCGTATGCCAATGTCAATGACGTGTCAGTCAAAATGCGTTTCCCGCCGATGGACACATCGATCCCATCGACCTTGATGTCTTTGCTTTTTGACTGAGTATCGGCACCAAGTTGCAAAGGGTTGACTGC